TTATATCCCACTTGCCACAAGACCAGGCGCTCTCAGGGAACCGAGGTCAAGAAGAAACCGACGCGGACCGACGATGTCGCACCTTCTTGGCGGCCGTGGTGAAGTCATTGGTCAAAAAGGCCTCCACCCCGCTCTCCTGGTCGTGGCAGCGCGGTGGTAGCAGGTCTCCGGTTTCATAACTGTAAGGCACTTAGACTTTAACCTCGAGCTGACCATGCAAAGGGAGATCAAAAGGTCTCACCGGATTTTCTTCCAGATATCGAGTGAGTCTGCGAGGCTCATTGCGCACCTGAATGATCTTCATGCCGGCTTCCACATTGGTGCCTGCAGGAGCATTGCCCAAGTCCCCGTTGGCCCTCGCATCTGGACAAAACTGCAAACATAATGTAAAAATACCAGCTGAAAAGCTTCAGTACCCAAACATGCCCAAACCATCCATTTGTGGAATGGTTGCCTACCTTACGTGTTCTCCCACCCTTTGTTCGCCTCCGCCCACGCTTCAGCACGCTGAGTGTTGCGCCGCGCCCGCGCCTTCGAGGCGGATCACCAGCGGCTTGATGGCAGCGTTGCCGCCCACGGCCTTGACACCCGCCACCACGGCCTCGGCGATGTGGTCGCAGCGGGCGATGCCGCCGAAGATGTTCACGAAGATGGACTTCACCTGACGGCGTCTTGGGTTTGGGGCCGGCGTGGACGGCGTGTTGGACCGGTTTCCGAGGTGAAGGGGTCGTTGGCCGGGACGGTTTGAACATGTTTGAACCGGGACGGGAGGCCGGGAACTGGAGCCACGGTTGGTTTGGAACGGTCCAGGCGTTGTTTTCGACGCCCAGACGAGGTGAGGGGCCAGGGACGGGAACTGACGAACTGGACCGGGCGAAGGTAGTGAGGATTGTGGTATGGAGATAGAAGAGCACCAGGTCGGTAGGTGTATTGGGGACGAAGGGGGAACAAGTCTTAGCCCTGTGGATCCACTGCCATCTCCGTGTTCTACCTCAACATGCTCGGGTCCCCCCACCTTCGAAACGGAGGCACGACTGGATTTGTTTGAAAGTGAAGAATTGGAAGACCTTCCAGGCAATGACCCGCTGGAAGAAGACAAATCGACTGCCTCTGTATGAAAAAAATACACATCGTTCCACACCCACCGTCCAGGAAAAAGCCGCCGCTGAGAGCTCTGGGGTCCAAAAAGGATCAAAAAGGCGCGCGGGCGCTCGCGCGGTCCGCTTCTTCTGCTGAGCACCCCCACGTTGGGATCTCCCATGATGATCCTCGGTGTTGCGGTGGAGCCCGCAGAATTGCTCATGTGGGGCCCTGGCAAAAAATAGAACAGGGAAGCAATGTAAGCAACACTGTCAGCCATTCACTTGAATGTACTACCCCAAACGATTCATTATGGAATAGTTGTTTATATCTCTACATTGGGTTCATACATGGGGTTACGGTATGTTACGGTTACTGACTTTCCACACGGATGGATGGTCTGGGTACCCTGGCTGGTGATTTGATACTCTCCCAACAACCTCAAAGAAGGCCTGGAAGAAGGCATCGACCTCCACTACGTTGATTCAAAGTTGCAGAGACCACAACAGCAGTTTGGTATTGTCAAGCTCTTCTCTCTTCAACCAGTGCTTCTATAGTACTTTGAAGTGCGAGTTCCGCGTGGTTCGTTCATCCACTCTTCGTGGTTCGTTGGTTCGTTCCCCCCCCCGCCAGAAAAGAAAAACATGCGCCCCCCACCCGTTCTGATCAGAACAGTGCGTGAACCGCAAATACTGTGCTTCAGAGGCCGACGAACATTCCCACGCCATGCTGATCGCTCGAAGCCCCGATGTTGGGAAGCGTAGACTCCAGCACAAGGAGAAGAGTGCATTTCTCTTGGGGGAATCCCCAAAGCCCAAACCGAAAAAAAAAGATGTTTTTGGGATCGGCTGTGACTGTTAAAATCGCTATATATATATATACATATATTGTCAGTTCCTCTGTTCAAAAGCCATCTCTACAGAGGATGGGAGTACCTGGGCGCCCTGGTTGACCCCGGTGACTGTCAAATTTCATAAGGTATGGGGAAAAAGGAAAAGTTCGTTTCCGTGGGGGGTTTTTATATACGTATATATGTGGTAAGTGTTTCCAGTACCAAAATTTGACGGCATGGGTATTGGAATGTGACTAACCACTTTGACAGGCTGCAAAGCAAATCCACTGAGCTCAGCAGACAGTTTTTTTTTCTCCCAGCTTATCAGAGTCCTTTCAGACCCCAGTCTATTCTGTGCTTTTGCTTCAGGTCCATCAGGTTAAGCAATTCTGCTGCAAGTACAAAGAACCAACACATAACAAACACAAGACTACCAAAACTCACATTGATTCATGTGATTTTGATCGTGGGTTTGAGATTCCTAACCGCCAACTACACAGCAAAACAGACAGCGACTCGGCTCAACCTATTGTTTGTGAACCAGCTTCTTCTGTTGAAGCAGCCCCGTTTGGGCTAGCATGGTTCTGCAAGGAGGAAAACCAACGGTAGCGTTGCAAACCAGCATGGAGGTGGAGCAATTGGATACTATTATATACTATTGGCAATATTTGAACAGTCTGAACTAGAACAGTTAAGGTGACTGAGCTACCAAAAGGCATGCCAAGACAAAACAGCAACCCGCAGAACAAAAAAACAATGAATCATTTGATATGGTTGCATTGGTGATTCCGGCCCCACCTACAACATGCCCATGTGGCATCCTCGACTTGGTTCAAATCACTGGACGTCCTTACTCACATCCGCGGCATTGCGGAGAAGTGCGTCCACCACAGGGCCGTTCATTGATGCTGGCTTGAAGATCAATGGTTCATCATTTGCGTTGGCCTGCACAGGATATTGAATACCAGTCCAGTGGAAACACAATTGAAGAAAAAAACAATAACAGCGCAACCCAAAGTTGTGGTTTCAGCCACATCTTTAAACAACAAATTGTTTGTTTGGTTGGTTGATTTAGTATTGACTGTTTTTTTATGTGTCTTTTTGTTTATATTTTTTTTGTTGAGGGGGGGGGGGGGGGGGGGGGGGACCAAGTAGACGCCTGAGAAGTCTTCCTGGATTTTGAAGATTTCGAGTTGGGAGACAACTTCTCATCCTTCTTCGATCTCTTACGTCGGCTGGTACATCCATCACCGTCCGCTTTTTGTTTGGACTTCTTGTCCTTCTCCTTTTTCTCCTTCTTATCGGTTTTATCCTTCTTGTCCTTCTTGTCTTTCTTGTCTTTCTTATCTGTTGTCTTCTTGTCTGACTTCTTCTCCTTCTGATTCTTGCCAGACGTGTGTTTTCCCTTAGTCGATGGAGCATGATGATGAGCATCATCATCATCATCATCATCATCGATCACCATGGGCGTGGATGGTGTTTCCACTAGTGCCTTTGATGCACTCTTCGCTGCTGCCTTGGCCTTGGCCATCTGTTTTGCTTTTGCCTTGGCAATGAATGCACCCTTTGCCTTTGCCGTGGCCTTTGGGTTTGTCGTTGCCTTTGCTTTGGCTTTAGCTTTGCTGGAGGCGGAGGCCGATTTGGCCTTGGCCTTGGCCGTCGCCTTGGCTTTCGCCTTGGGTGTCGCATTGGATTCATGTGCGTTTTCCTCTGCAAGCAACTGTAAAAGCGCTGCTGTAGAGGGGCTAGCTGGGCTTGTTGGTGCTGGTTGTTCAATGGCTGGATGTGATGCTGGAGGTGATGTGGCTGCGGCCCCTTGACCTGGAGTGCCATTGTATGGAACCAGCTGTAGACTGCTTTGCGCTGCCTCTGGAAGTGAGGCTTGAATGCTTGTACTGCCTAGCTCAAGTGTTGGTGTCATGGCTGCACTGTTGTCCTCATTGACAGTTTTGTTTTCACCAGGAGTGCCATTGACTGACGGTAGCTGTGGACTGCTTGTATTCCCTTCAGCACTCAATGCTGCTGCTGGTGCTGGCTGCGCGGTGGCTGTGTTGCTGTTGGTGTCATTGGCTGGAAGTGCGGCTTGAATGCTTGTACTGCCTGGAGCAATTGTTGGTGTCATGGCTGCACTGTTGTCCTCATTGACAGGTTT